GACTAACATTGATATTAAAAAAAAAAAAAAAAAAAAAAAAAAAAAAAAAAAAAAACGGCAAAGACAAGCTGTTGCATAATGCAAATGAAATGTTTCGAGTATGTATAAGATAATATCAAAATATGTTTATGGTATGTAATATCAGTTTCCTCTGATCTTTTTTCTTTTGTGACATTGATTGTTTTTCTCCATTCAAGTGAAAGAGAGCATAAATATTCCTCCAGCAATTTCATAACAGCAGCAGTATTATTTGGATCAGGCATACCATTACGATTATGAGAATCAAACACATAAATACAACCTGTGGTGTTTTATAGGCCAATCTTTGTTTACGTTTTTCCCTCATTAGCATAAAAAAATTTGAAGCTACAAGCAAACCGACTCCAGAAATCGAAAGAGAATGTCTTATTTAGTAACTACTGAAAATTCGAGAGTAATATGTCTAATATTTTGGGAGTAAGATTTTTTTTGAAAGCGGTATGATTTACAAAGAAATTTAAAACCATGACGTAGCTTTCTATTATAAATGTATCTGATCCTCGCAGTATGTGAAGCAACTGAAGCTGTAATGATCAGCTCAATTTGATACATTGCAACCGCAGTACGAATATATATTTCATATATATTCACATACAAATATTATAAATGCAAAATTATTATTGCTAAAAGCATTCATCAAAGCTGAACGTAAAGTGAAGTATGGAGCCTCCTTTACAGACTCGTCACGCGTAGTTCCGTTCCTTGGTAAAATTGGTTGTATTTTATCAACCACAATGGGTTGTCATCCGGGGTTGTCATTTGTTTTGATTTGTGCCTCACTGGGCTCTACCACGATAGGTAGATGAGCATTTGTCACCCGGGGTGGGGGTGGGGGGTACTACCTTCCCAACTTGGGTAGGGGTGTGCCGCCAGGACCTCAAAACCCTGACCCTATCCTAGACCTAAAATTCTAATTTTACTTACCCTACCCCAGACTAAAACTAAGGATTGTACACCCTATCCCAGACTAAAAGACGGAAAAGACAGTTATTCAATAGATTGCAATCAATATTTACTAAAGTTTTTATTGTTTTTGTGCCGGCAGAAAGCGTAGCCTATTCGCCAGGAAAAATGACCAAATCGTAACCCTATCCCAGACTAAAATAATATCCTATCGCAGACAAAATGTCAAAAAATGATACCCTACCCCAGACCCAAAAGCCGAAAAACCATACCCTATTAGGGCGGCACATAGCTGTATAGAAAATATAGGGGAGTACCCCCTCCCCCCCGGTATTTGTCACCATGAGCAGATTGATTCAGTGGGCAATCGGTGTTATATATTACGTGCGTCAATGGCCGACTGTTTTGTTTCGTTTGCCTCAATGGGCGAGGACCAGCGAGCTCTGTCAACCTCTCGGTTTCTCCTTCCGCGTAAGGATGTGATCTATGGTGGCAGCAGTCCAGTGTGCGATTGTCTGAGCACATAACAGCGCAGAAAAACTAATTAAACATTAAATCGTTCATGACCTTGATGCACCTTCCAGCAATAAATAAGATAATGATTAGAGTACGAAAAAGAAGGCTTGTTTTATCTTTAAGAAGCGATGCTTTCAACGCATATGCGCCGTTTTCTGTTGACCCCGCTGTATGGTTTCCAGTCAATTGGCCGTGAAAGTTGGGCGAGCGCAGCTGCGATTGTCACGGTTTTCATGGCGTTCGTTGCAGTAATTTTTTAAGGTTTAAGGGAGGACTGCTCGTGGCTACAGCTAACCCCAATTGAATCACACAGATTTATTGGTAAGCTATTCCTTCGTGCTCATGTGAACAAAATCCTCATCATTATTTCTTAGTGTTGGAATATTTTTCTTAAGTACCCTTCAAGACTCGCTGAAACTGCATACAAACAAAATGACAGAACAAGTAAGTCGTCAAACTTTTATTTGCGCTTTAATTTTTAAATAAAATATACGCCATATTCTAAATCCCAAACATTCTCTTATAAATATGTAGTGGCTTGGGTTGCCTGTCACGTGATATATGCAGCTGAAACGCAAGAGCAGCTTTTTGTGCAAGGAATATGTAATATTAATGACTTACCTTTAGTTTCCGCTGTAAACAAGAGCCTACAAGCCAAAGTAAACGAATTTTCAAACTATTATTATTTTTTGAATATTGAGGATTCGTTTTCGATAATGAATGTTCGAATCGAATAACGAAATCAAGAATCCAAAAATAAAGTGTTCGCGCTTGAGGTGGATTTTTTGTAAGGATCTGATAAACTTTGTCAGGACCGAGCAATGAGGCGCTTTGTTGCCAAAATACGTTTTTTTCATTAAAAAAATAGTACCCTATCCAAGGCACACAAAAACGTGAAACTTACGATCTTGTGTCAATACCCTGTGCCAAGACAGCAAGGCCAAAAAACCATACCCTTTCCAGCAGCACATACCCTTATAGCAAATATATGCCAGTAACATGCAACTCCAGGCGTACCTAAAGAGTAAAAAAGGTAAAGGTGATTTGTTTTACTTATAACGCGGGAGTGGTTACCCAAATCTCCCGAGCCAAGGGCTCATGTTTAATGCGCTCGAAGGTGGGCCCTCTAACTATCAGTGCTCCTTTTTACGGGTATTTAAAGCTAATTAAAGCTACACAGAACAGAGAGAAGTCGAAACAGATCCTGAGGATCGAACAGTGGACCTCTAGCTCTGAAGGCCGCGCACTAACCAACTGAGCTACGCCTGCTCCTAAAAGTCACTCCACTGGAATAAATTTAATATCGGTCGACAACAACGATACATCTTGGACATTCCACAAGGATAACTTCATAGGACAGGTTTGGGAGAATATCTGCATCAACACAATAACATTGAAGGTGTTGTTATGCAAATTGGAGTGGTCATAGCATCAGTCTCGCAATCCGGTGGTGCAGGAGTCCCGCTGTGGCTGTGGCCACCAGCTGAGATTTTATTTGTCCTGATTTCCGATTAGTTCAAGTTCAGTTTCTCAACAATGCTTGTAAATAGCCAACTGGTTTGGGATCTTAAAAACACTTTATGGACTACACTGTAAATTTATAGCGGTAATCTAAGTGTACTTTCCACTTCTACGTTAAACAAGTTTATTATTGAAGAAATAGAAAAYGCGCGCGCGTGCTGTGTGCTGTCATAAAGCACACGGGGGTTTGCATAACACGAGAGAAGTGTTAGGAGAAGCACGACGCGTAGCGGAGTGCTTCTCGACACTTCTCGAGTGTCTGCCAATCCCCAAGTGCTTTATGACTACACACAGCACGCGCGCGCGTTTTCTATTTCTTTTATAAAATACAGATTACAATAATAGATAGGAATGACGCAACGGAAATGTTTTCTGTAGAAATTTCAATAGATTCTAGATAAAGCTCTGGTCTATTGATGTTGGAAGTTTGAAGAGTTGAAAACGGCGAAAATGAGATTTTTCACTGGCAAAACTCTCATATTCGAGGTCTACACCGACCATTAGTAAATAATCCTTTATTCAAACAGTTCATAACATATTTGATGTCGATTTTTCGTAAAGCTCATCCGCAATACTGGAAAATAGATATGTGAAAACTTCAAGGCCATCCATTCAATGGTAATGTTGGCATTGTTGTTCCTGCATCCAGCATGACTGCCGTCACGTGATGGCATCTATTAGTCTAAAAAATACTTCTAAAAAGCGAAAGAAAAGTGCGCAAGCATGCACTCAAACAATATTTCATTGAGAAGTTTATTGAACTCCAAAACCCTTTTCGGAGTAATATTTTTTACAGCATTCGTGGGAAAATACAAAATTCTGCCGCCCACTTTGCCATTATACACGAACACATAGATATTTGTTCTTCGATTTACATTTTTATATACATTTAGATTTAGAATTCTTTCTTAGGCTGAAAACACCACATATGGGTTTTTATATATTACAAGAATTCAATTCTATCATCACATCATGACAAGTACGTGCCGTTCTTAATTCTATTTCTGTAAAGGTCCTTGTTCTTCACGTGATGAATGCAACTTGTCTGTGGGTTCGAATATTAGAACATAAAGCCCCTAAAACCGTCAAATCCACACCATACAATATCACGACAAGTACGCAGTTCCTACAGATGACAGTCGAGATGGGAATGTGGTACGCTAACGAGAAGAACAGAACGAGAATTGATATGCCAAGAATATCTGATCTTTATGCGCTGGAGCAGGATGCTTTTTAATCGTGAGCACTGGCAGCAAGATGTTTCATTTTCTGGTCCAGGAGGTCGTTTGACCTACGTAATCTTGTCTTGGCATCTCATGAAAGACAACAGCAACAACAACAACAACCACAGGAAGGACAACAACGCCATTGTTGTCATCACAGAAAGAGCTGCCAGAATACAGCCAACGTCATCATCATCTTCATCATCATTAAACATCATCATCTCCATCATCATCGTCATCATCATCATCTCCATCATCGTCGTCGTCATCATCATCATCATCATCGTCTCCTTGAACTGATGGGGCTATTTTCTTAAGTATTTGCACAGTTCTAGCATTTTTTCTAGCTGTGTTCCTTTTTTTTTTTTTTTTCGATTGTTCTGTTTTTGTGCTCATGATTTTCTCTTCATTGCGGAGAAGTTGAAACGAAATGCCGATGTGCAATCATCCAAAAGCTTGATAAGTCGGTTTTGTAACAAACTCATTTCTTCTTGCAAAGTTTTTGAGGATGTAATGATCCGTTCATCAAAGCCGCGTGCAGTTTTTTGTCCTGTAAGAATTCTACCCGACGAGTGAATGGTNTCACAGAAAGAGCTGCCAGAATACAGCCAACGTCATCATCATCTTCATCATCATTAAACATCATCATCTCCATCATCATCTTCATCAACATCATCACCTTTATCATCGTCATCATCATCTTCATCAACGTAGTCGTCATCATCTTCATCAACGTCATCGTCATCAACATTATCATCGTCGTGAGAATGCAGCCATCGTCATCATCATCATCTTCATCATCGTCATCCTTGTCCTCGTCATTATCATCTTCATCAACATCATCATCATCTACATCATCGTCGTCATCATCATCTCCATCAACATCATCATCATCTCCATCATCATCATCATCAACAGCAACAAACGAGTCTGTCAGTAAGTTATTTGCTCTTAAACGTGGTTAAACTGGTTAAACGTGTACGAATGTCAAGGATAAATCAGACGGGTAGCTGATGGGATGAATCTATTGCATCAACCATAGTTTTGACATCCATTATCTTTCTCTTGTCGCCATACGGACACTCCCCGATCAGACGAACAATATCATCGTAATTGAGCACTTCTTTGTCAAGCAGTTCGTTGGCCAGCTGTAGTTCAACAAAAAATGTGCGAAATGTCAACAAAATTATTTTACAATAGACCCCTTGCAGCACATCAGAATGCAGCTCAATTTGGAGTACATAACAATAGGTTTCCAATTCTCACGAGATTAAGATTCTTTTGCTTTGTCCTCTAAATTGCGCTGCTTCGACGTCACATGCAAGGGGTCTATAGAACTCAAGCATGACTTTTTATACCTACACTTCCAGAATCCCTTTTTGTAACTTTTTTGTAATATTGATTTTCACTATTGTCATGGTATTCTCAAAGGGGTTATAAAATTTGAAGATGAAAAGATGTTTGAAAAGGATTGTGGTAGGTTAGGTATGAAATGTCATAAGAGTTAAGGTTTATACACCGATCACGCATTCATTGTTCTACCTCCCTAGTTACTGTTGCTACGGGGGAGGGGGAGGGGAGGGTTTTCGTTATGCAATGGACCCCTTGCATGTGAGGTCAAAGCAGCTCAATTTGGAGGACAAAACAAAAGAATTTTAAACTCTGTGCCATCTTGAAAGGTTGCCTAGCCGTACATCAAAGCGAGACGAATGGTGAGCTTGCAATGATAGAGACCGTATTTTAACACCTTGGACAATTATTCGCATGTCTCTATCATTGCAAGCTCACCGTTCGCCTCGCTTCGATGCAAAGGCACGGCTACCTTTCAAAATGACGCAGGGAGCTGTTAAGGGGACTATTGGAAACCAAGAGAATATGAACAATTAATTTTCTCTTCTGGAAACCTATTATTATGTCCTCCAAATTGAGCTGCATTCTCGAAGTACTGCAAGGGGTCTATACAATACAATCCGGCTTTCTTACCTTGACGAGTTTATCTTGATGGGTGTCTATGATGTTTTGAGTCCTCCTAAACGCTTTAGCAACCAGCATTCTGACCTCTTCGTCAATTATTAACGCTAACTTATCACTGTATGGCTTCTTGCCCAGCTCTGATGATCTCTTCACGGGAAATGATATGTTGCCCACGCGGTCATTCATTCCAAAGGTAACGATCTGAAGAAAAATGCAAACAGTTGTATTTAGGGGATCAAGGTATTGGGCACATGGATTAGCCATTCCGATATGGAGGGGGAAAAAAATTGGATTCCAGAAGGGTCAAGGTCATAGATAATCTTAAGTGGATGTCAAATGCTGCGTCAAGGGCTGGTTCCCAATTTAGCCCACTTTCACTCACTCACATGTTGATTTTTAGAGGGAGGAAACTGGAGAACCCGGAGAAAACCCTCGTAGCATAGGAGAGAACAACATATCAAACAAACTCAATTCACATATGGTGTCCGCAGGGCTCGAACCAGTGACCCAGGTAACAGTGGTGAAAAACGAGGCGTTAGCAGCGAACGCCACCCATACTACTCGTTTTGAGTCATTTTGACTGCAACAAGCGTTTTGCTTCATTTACGTACTTGTCTGTATGCCATATCTGTAACTCTACGCAAGTCGTCTTCAGCTCCTACAACGAAAAACATTGTGATCATTACTCTGCCTTCTGATTTTAAATTGGCAGGTGCGAGACTTAAACCAAACTTTTTGTCTGCTAAATTTAACGAGTGGGTCGCGATTTAAAGAAGCGGGTGTACAATATTCCTTGTTATACGAGTGTATCACTTATAGTGGCTAACAAACCTGCGGCCCTCGTTCCATGAAAGTTATATTTAGAAATTGATTTTTGCGGAGGGAGAAAAACCGGCTGCGCAAAGGACGGATCCAAGGAGTGGGGGGCAAAGGGGGGCTGAAGCTCCCCTTCAATAGAAAAAAAAAAACCAACAAAACAAAACTGAAGAATTAGATGCTTTTTATATTGTTTTCCGTTGTGTTGACGGAAGAAACTCAATTAGCTCCCCCTAAACTCAATTAGCCCTCCCCCCTAAAATTTTGGCTGGATCCACCTTTTGCGCATTACCAGCGCACGTGTACCAACCGTGCTTCAAGGAATCGCTTTTTTTTAAAACTTTGTTTGGCTTTTGTTTGAAGATTTCTCTTCGAAAATGCGATGAATATTAATTTTTATCTGGGATGGGCTCCATGTATTTCTAGCTGATACGTAGTACATGCGACAAGGCAGAACAATGAGTCAGAAGTTGTGGGTGAAATTAAATTGCAGGCTTACTTGCTTACTATAAACAAATGTCTATGGTTTCTATAAAATAAAAAAATTGCTACATCGATGCAACAGATAAGCTTGTTTCTTGAAAATAAAGGAAAGCTACGTTTTTTTTAATGATTTGGAGGGGGAGGACTGGGGGATTCGCAATAGGCTTTTTAACCATTTTACTCGGTATTAAAATCAGGGCCTTCCTTTAAAGACAACAAGGAAACAGCTTTCGTCAAAATGAGAAGGTTTCACCCATGACAAAAGTTCAATTTCTCTCTGAAGCCCCAGTCCTTCCCTCCCCCCCCCCCCCCCCAAATAAAAACGTACCTTTCATAAGAAAGATTTTACTGTATGTAGAGCTTTTCTAATGATCGTAGTAAAACTTTTTTTGCTGATAACCTCGACCAATTTTCGTGTTACTTGCGAAATATTCTGACGGCTTTGCTTTCTGGACAAATTGGCGCATGCGCGTACGTTTTTCAGCTGGCCTGTCAGTACACGCAATGTGTTGTGAATAATACCTACCGGTGGTTATTCTCCTGAATATTTTACTTTCCGCTGCCCGTCCACCAAGTGCTAAGCACATGCGATCAAACAACTAAGAAAGTAAACAAGAATTAGTCACTTGGGGGGGGGGGGGGGGGGGGGGGGGGGGAATGGGTCGAAGTTGGCATTACAGGACTGCTGTGACATTGCATTGTGGGACTGTTATCAAGATGGAGTAGCATGGATAAGGTTACGTCATCCAGTCCCTCCTTTAACGTACAAATCCGTTCATATAAGCGGCAGATTTACGGGAGGTTAGGCCAAACAAAAAAGCGTGTTTAGTGTTGCGCGACCGACCCTAATTTTCTTGCCGTTTTTTGCCAACCCTAATATTTTTTTCATTCCCAAATGCACCACAGGGTTCCCAATAAGCTCATTTCCACTGAAAACAAAAAAAACAACCTTGTATCAATAAAAATAAAAAATAAAAAAATCCGACCTATCGACCCCAATTATTTTTCTCATGCAACAGGAAACACACTTATGTTTTTGTTTGGCATTAGTGGGGTGTTTCCGAACCCCACTTCCATATTCAGTAAAGCCGATATTCTTTAAAATGTGATTGGCATGCCGGATAATGTACGATTGATAACAGCGAGCTTATCTACAGAAAAAAAATCAAGATAAAGCAATAACCTAGCATAACCAAGTGTAGAGGTCAAGGTAAAGCAATAATAGAGAGTTTTAGATTTACGTTCACGGCAAACGTGAAACGTCAGTTGACCAGTAAAAAATTCTTTTAAATGACTGAAAAAGAATTGCAAAAAAGTCCAAGTAGTAGAAAAACAAAAGAGTATTTGCGCTTGGTGAGAAGGTTTGTAAAAGGTAAAGTAAAATACACGAAAACTATGAAAACGTGGTCACGTTTGCCGTTTGCGGGGAGAAAAAAAAGTCAATCTAAAACTCTCTAATAATTAAGGATTGACACATGGTCACTTGAGCAAGTGTATTACCTGTTCTGTGGTGTACAGTTTCTGATCAGATGGTAGATACTGAGCATAACCAAGTGTAGAGTTCGTACGAGGGACGATAGAAACCTGAAAAAGTTCGCTTAGTGTTTTAAAAAACAGAATTGTGTTTCATAAAATAACGGTTATAAATCTCACGTTCTGATTGGTTGGGAGCGCGTGCGTTATGAGAGCACACAGCACGTGCGTGCACCAACCTTCGCTGGCACGTAGGCACCGCTGAAAGAGACAGCCTTGATGAGTTAACAGCTTCAGAATTGGGAACTTGTTTGACTGAATACGAGCCATAACTTTTGTTTTCTTTTAGCGAAACCCGAAGATTGGCATATGTTTAACGGGTTGTTGCTCATCATTATTATCATTTCAGTAAGCGAGAACTACTAATACTCCAGTTTCGAGTTCTCTGTTGCTCAGGGTTAGCCTCGATTTTGTCAAGAATATTACTGTGTTCCAGTGAAGGTCCGTGGAATTTCAAAGTGTTTGTATTGTTGAAGCTGTGCATTCTTTACTTTACCGTTGGTATTTGTGAATATCCAAACATTCATAGGAGACTCACCCTGAGTAAATGAGTCAGTAATCAAGGAACACAGCGGTAATTTGGAACTCAAAAAAGGTCTGTTGAGAACGAATAATTAATCGCTTCAGTGATGTCTACCCATACTACCTTACGGCTCATTCACGTAGGCTGGAGGCATGTCAACCAGGTCAAAAACGTTTCTTTGGATCGACTGTATGATAAATCTCTTTAATCTAGTTTACCTTGAGTAATGGATCAGTGTACTCCAACATCCATCCTACTAAGGCGTGACCTGCTTCATGGAAAGCAAGGGTTTCTCGTTCTTGGGGAGTTATGGTATTGCTTCTCTTTTCCATTCCTTTCATAAAATAATATAAATACTAGATTTAGCAGACCGCTTCAGGTGAAGAAGCTAGCTTACAGGGACGGATCCAGGAATCTGAAAAGGCGGAGGGGGGAAGAAGAGGGGTAAGGTTAAGGGGGGGGGGGGGGGGGGGGGGGGAAGGAGAGAATTGGGCATTAGATGATCTCTCACTGATGAGGAGGTCTAAGAAATATGCTCAAAAGAAAATTGTTGGTCTCCAGAAATGCTATTTCCTGCGTTCTGGAGATACTTTGGACAAAAAAGGGCAAAACATGAATCCAAAAATAACAAGAGGGAACCTCCTAAAACCGACCGGCGGATGGGCATCAGCCATGCATTATCCATTCCCTCCTCCCCTCCCCAAAGAAAGAAATAGGACTGCAAATGCTCACAAACTATAAACAACTTAGTCAAAAACGTCTTTGTGCTATTATAAAAGTAGCATGAAAATGTGTTTGTTTGAAAATTTACGCCTGCGATCAAACATGGAGAGTTTTGTTTTACCAGCAATGACTCTTTCCACGGCATATTCAAAGTTCTTGGAATCCACGGATTTTTCATTAAGTCTAGCAGCGTGAAGGGCAGCTTCATTACAGATGTTGGCAATGTCAGCACCTAAGAAATAATTAACGGTTGAGGCTTGAATTCAGTAAACAACAACAACGGCAACAGCAGCAGTAAAAGCAACAGCAACAGCAGCAATAAAAATAACCCAAGCAGCAGCAAAAACAACAGCAGCAACAACTACAGCAGCAACAACTACAGCAGCAACAACTACAGCAGCAACAACTACAGTAGCAA